AGAAAAAAGAGAGAGAGAGAGAGAGAGAGAGAGAGAGAGAGAGAGAATTCAACAGAATCAAACTATTTCATGTACAAACTTTACACGTGACTAGCTTTATTTAATGGGAAATAGGTCATTGGTCACCAAGTATTGTGAGCATGGTTGGATAGTCAAATCCAATTCTCCAAAGAATGTACAATTAAAAAAAAAAATTACAAATTGAGTATGAGAATAGTGACAAGAGGAAGGTGATCCAAAGTGAGAGATTCACAGTACAGTTAGACAATGAATATGTCAATTAAGCCCAAGTACAAAGCAAAGGAACAGAATTGAGCAGAATGAAACTTCTAACCAATTACCAGCTGCTCCTGCCTCATCCCATTTGAAATTTCAGGGTCATCAAATATTATTTTGGCATTAGCTTGAACTATATGCTGAAATACAGGCGAGTGTGGTTGTGGCCCACCTCATGTACCCACAAACTGCTCTTGCACTCTTCGGGCTCAGGGCCACCCACTAGTCTGCACAGAATAAAACTAATCTCATCAAGGGCAAGTGCTTTGAAACTACAAATGGCCTCTGTACCCTTGAATAGCAGGTAATCAACTAGGTTTTGCTTCTGCCTATACCCAGTAATTCTATTGAAAAAAGTCTGTTGGTGTGACTTCACACGAATTTAATTGATTAGGCGATGCTATTTTCCTAGCATTGAACAGTTTGTTAACACCCACTCTGGTCAAAGTTCTGGATGGCAGCAATACCCAAAAACAGTCATACACGACTTCGTGATGGAGAATATCAGGTGACTTGAGTAGTGAGCAAACATGCTCAATTAATGAAATTACTGTTGCCAATCAACAGGCAACAACCAGAAGCTGGAATATATGCTGCAACACGCATCATATTCCAAAGCATGTTCATATTACAAAAAATCAGATTGCGTCATATCACACGGTAAGACATAATCAAGAGCCACTATCACAGGGTTTAGGATATGCCTGTCTTCTTTAATCGCCTGAAACCGGCCTAATTTCCTTCTGTAAGGATAGATCTGTTTCACGTTACACAATGTTAAATTAAGTTCAGTTTCCAAAGCTGATTGTTGAATGTGTGGGGTAAAAGGAAGTAGTAACACGAGTGTGCAATTAAAAAAATAGGGGGAGAAGGGGAGACAGAATTCTACTATTGAATTCTTGCACCATGCTATAACTGGTGTTCTCAGAGTATTGTATATCCAATGGCAAGCCCTACTTATCACCCAATAAGTAATCTACTTCTATTAATAGAACACTATAGGCAATAAAACACAAAACTCTGCATTCCAACACTCAAGCAGTAAAACTTCACTCTCTCTTTTTCACCTGGTCAGTTGGTTCAGTCTTGATGCGCACTTCATCCTTCACCTGCATTGAGCCTGAAACTTTGGCTGCATTACAAGGATCCATTTTGTCCATTCCTTCAATTTTAGGCTTAATATCCTTTAAAGTGAGTTCTTTCGGGTCATCTTTGTCTAACAGGTATCGTAGTAGTGCATTACTTTCTTTCTTCTTAGGGCTCATCTGTTCCTGCTTGATCGCAGCATCTCCAACTGGTGTCATACTGCCCGAATCCTGACAAGACTCTTTGCCTGTAGCCTCTGCAGTAAGCTTGGCTACTTCTGCAGGGGAGTTTCCATTCTTCAGCAACTTGTGTAAAATTTTGTGTTTCTCTTGTAAAGAAGAGCCATGCAATGTGGCTGTAGCAGCACTGCCACCAGCTGAAGCTGAAGTTGAGGAGACTCCCGTTGGACTTGTAATGCCTGAAGAGGAGTCTTTAACACTAGAATCCAAATTAGGGTTTGCTAAAGATGTTAGCCCCATGTCATCCGCGGGGGAGGTCAGTAATTGCAACAGTTTGGTGTGATTTTTGTTCTCGTGGAATTTTCTCTGGCCCTCCATGTTATCGTTATTACCAAAAATGTTTAGATTTCCTTCCTTGATACTCTTCTGTTCACTATGAGCATCTCTGCTTTCTGGTCGACCCACTGTGCTCTCAACTTGGTTGTGTTCCCCAAAAAGGCCAGGCGAATCTTTTAGATCTACGCTACTCATCTTTGATTGCTGGAGCAAGTTCACATTTGGGGACGCTTCCATCTTTTGACCAGGTGATGATAGTGATGACAGGAGTGAAACTCCCAATCCTTCACTTATGGCTTGAAGTGCATTAAGGGAACTACTAGAGAAGGTGCTACTGCCTGTGCTGTTTATATGCCCCACTGGTGACTGCATTCCACCAGCTGAAGAATACTGGTTGGGTCCCATTCGTGGACTCACCCGATGCCTTGGTGAAAGCATCAGATTTTGTTGGCTTGTGTTCACCCCAGGGCTACTATGTGGGGGACTATTCATTGTGAGTGCACAGCTGTTTCCCTGTACGTTAGGTGTCTGCATACCAGACCCATGGTTCATTGCACCAGCTGTCCCACCTGCTGCACCAAACCGTCCCATTTGCCCCATAGAACTGGGGTCATTCAAGCTATTTGCACCATAGTTCATATTATTTTGCACCGGCATTCCCTGTCCTGTTGCCCCTGATGACATGCTCATATTGCTTGAAGGGTTTGTGCTTGCTGTAGCAAGCGTTTTCATCATTTCTTGCCCCATGTTGGTTTGATTCAGTCTGCAACCATTCTGTTCCCTACAAGTAAAAACAAATTGGGAATTAGATTTAATATTAGAAATTAGACTTTCACTGCAAAGGCCCAAGAACTGAAATGGTATTGTTGATAATTATAATAGCTTATTCAGTAAAAAAAAATTACATGGTAACCTGCCATTAAAAATGCAGATATACCTAACCCTATTCTCTGACTCAAGGTGTTCATTCTCTCTTCAGCTCTATTAATATCTTTTTTAAACACCTCAAAAGCTACAACAGACCAAAAGAAAGATATAATGATTCTTACAATTCACAAGTTAGTTTTTAGGCTGTAATCTATTGTAGCAATTATCAGTTTAGTTAAAGCTTTCACAGTGGGACAGTGATAAACAAAAATCATTAGGTGTTGACCTTCCTCAAAGGAAAATGTCATACAACTAAGAATGTGCAGAACTAAAATAAGCCACATTAGTGCAACTTGAGTCTGCAGAATACAAAAGCAAAATCAGTTCTTTTGGAACTTTTGCAACCAATGCCAAGTTTCCAGAAAATTCAATTTTTTTTTTTTAAGATGGAGTCTGATTTACAAACTAGTTTAAAAAAAAACTGACCAAAAGCACAAGCTGGCATTGCAACTAGTCTTCTTGTACAGCTTTGATCCCTGACTGACAAAATCTGCACATCCTTTCAGATCTAACTGGTCCATATAAAATCTGCCTTGACAGTGATGAAACACATTTCATAATAAAATATCACATAAAACAAAGTCTGAATTTTAGTCTTACATAAAATTACTAAATGAAAATTGATTCAGGCATAAACTCAAGTGGCATAGGTACAATAACCATGTTAAAGAATTTGGACATAGGGCGGGCCTTTGTTGGAGGCAAGGAATTCATCTGAGAAGTGAGGGATTGCTAAATATAAGATGACCTGCGCAAATATGAAGACCATCTATTGATCTACTAAAGGATAGAATTCGCAGACATGGTGATTCTTGTATCTTTGCAGTTATTCAATGGTGTGTGACAGAAAAACAAAAATTTAGGAGAAATCATTGATTGCAGTGTGTCTTTATGAAGCTACCTCTTCAAATACAAGGAAGCACTGATGAGCTCTTACAACATAAGTATTATATAAAAGCTACACTTCTAAAATAACTGTAACAAAAAATATTTATTTTCTATCACACAGCTGCAAATTTCAGTATACTTCTGTACCTTTGCAGCAAGTGTGTAGAGCCAAAGCCAACAGACTCATTAGATGCTGAGCTGCGTATAAGTTTGGTCTTGGTTTGTGCAGTGACTACTGTACCATCCGACAAGGAAAAACGATAAAGGGGACTCTCAGCTTGACCTTGCGTAAAGGCTAAGTAGGAAAGGAAAAAAAGAATTACTATACAAACAAGCATGCACAAAGTTAAGAACATAATCTACTAAATCAACCTGCCAATTACACTTAATAGCAGAGTCAGTTAAGTAACAATGGAATTTCCAAAATCCTCACACGTTTCCTACTATACATTTTGTCTTGCATTAAGAAAACAAAGAAAAACAGGGCTAAAGCAAAAAGACTTGAAACATTAACTCTGCTTTTTCTACACATGCTGCCAGACCTGCTGAGTTTCTGCAGCAATTTTTGTCTTTGTTTCAGATTTCAAGCATTCAGTTCTTTGTTTCATACTAGACCAAATACAACTATAGGAACCTGGATAGCAGGAGAGCATGAAGTGTTTTAAAATTGGGGGCAGCAGCCACCTGCTTGCTCTCTCTAATAGTATAAATGCTGTTTATGATTTTTTTTTCTAGAAACAAAAGCAAAGCAGAACACTGAAGTCTGAAATATCTGGACATGGTATTCTACGATGTACTTTGAGAACAGCTGAAGAACCAGATGAGTAATTACGCCATACTAGATCCAAATTTAGCAAACCAGCTCAGAAAAAGGTAGGGCCAGAACAGAGCAGTCATGTTTAAAGTTTTTGAGAAGATCTGTAGCTCGAGTTGTGGATGAGGTTGTAGACTTGCTAACTGAGCCGGTGTGTTCGGTAGCAGACGTCTTGCCACCCTGCTAAGTAACATTGTCAGTGCGCCTCTGGTGAAGCGTTGGTGTTCTGTCTTGCTTGTTACTTATGTGCTCCGTTTGCTGGGATGGTTGGCATTACTTCTGGTTGCTTTTTAGTGGTTTGTATATCAGGTCCAGCTTGATGTGTTTGTTGATGGAGTTCTGGTTGAAATGCCAGGACTCCAGGAATTCCCTGGCATGTCTCCATTTGGCTCGTGCTTTTATGGACGTGTTGTCCCAGTCGAATTTGGTGTCCTTTGTCAGTTTGTGTTGAGACCAGTGAGAATTGATCAAGTCTCTTGGTGGCTAGCTGTTGTTCGTGTATCCTTATTGCCAGTTTTCTTCCAGTGTGTCCTATGTAATGTTTTTCACAGTCCTTGCATAGTATTTTGTATATTATGTTAGTTTTATTGGTTGAAGGTATGAGATCCTTTTTGTTCGTCAGTCGCTGTGACAGGGTGGTTGTTGGTTTGTGGGCTACCCTGATACCTAGGGGTCTGAGTAGTTTTGTGGTCATCTCTGATATACGGTAGATGCACAAGAGATGACCACAAGACTACTCAGACCCCTAGGTATCAGTTTAGCCCACAAAACACCCTGCGACAGCTACTGACAAATGTAAAGGATCCCATATCCACAACCAATAAAACTAACATAACATTCAAAATGTCCTTCTGTCATGTTGGCTTGGGCTAAGGCAGAGGAAGGGAGTTGATACTTATTAATTAGGTACCATATTGTTAGATGGATAAGCCTGATAAGGAGAAAGACTTGGAAACAAAAACAGAAACAGCTGGCAAAAAACAACAGGTCTCGTAGCATCTGTGGAGAGAAAGCACAGTTAACATTTCGAGTCAGGTCACTCTTCACCAGAGAGACTTTGCATGCCTGTGAAAACAGGAAAGGAGTTATCAAAGAGCATTTTATTCCAATAAATCATTCAGGTTCTTTTTTTTAATAAAGGATGCAAATAGTTTGCAAAAGTAAATTACCTTTAAGCCATAATAATGTATTTAATTTTAATCAAATTGTTTTTGAGGTCTGGTCCTGTCTTTCATCAAACTCTCATCCCACACCAATCTCAGTTCTTCTTAGAAATATCAATTATGTGAGCACCTATTCCTCAATGTCAATAACTGTTAATGGCCAATACCATTTTGTAGCACTTCACCTTCATGGTAATGTCTTTTCAGAGACCATGGCTGTCCATCATTATGGTGAGAGAACCTCTGAATGCATCTTCGCACAAGATCTTCCCAGCCCGGTTTCTTTGAGGCACGCAGGGAACTTGGATCTATTGAGGTAATCTTGCCTGAAAATATGGAAGAAAGAAAAGGAACTTAACATAGAATCAGTTCATTTGTTCAACTAGAAAAAATGAAGGAAATGAGGGATCATGACAAAGAACAACATGCATTTGTACAGCATGTTTAACCTCAAGATAGTGTTACAAAGTTGGGTAGAGTAATTGTGAAGTGGAAGGCAGGAAGCTAACTTTAAGAGATTCTTTTAAGAGCTCCTTTAAGAGATTTGTGCTTTGTCTGTACTTAGAAATTTAAAAAGAAAATGCATGTCTGTGAGCAGCAGAAGTTGCCGGTACAGAGAGCCTCAAAAACTGAAACAAGTTTATCAAAAAAAGCTTTACAGGTGGCAGGCAAAACAGCGGTCTTGTTTTGATGTTGTGACAACGAGTTTGAATTCAGCCAATTAATTTAAACAAAGAACCTAGATACAGAAAGCCAACTGAATTTAAATCTGATAGTGTTGATAACCTGAAACCAATCATATAAGAACCTGATTAATTCATCACGGTATACAAGATGACGGCATTTGGAAAATTGGGGAGAGCCAACTGCCATCTGAAAGAGAGAGTGATCCGCCACCTGCCAGAGTTAGCACCATTCAGCTCTCAGAGAAAGCCCATCTAATTAATCAAAGGTACCACTGTATTTTAGCCCAAAGTCCTCAATGAAGAAATTGTAGATATAAAACATCCCTGACAGCAGAATTAACAGAAGAAAGGCATTTGTGAAGAGGGTGGAGGCAACAGAATATTTCAGAAGACAATCTCTCCAAGTTTGCACAGACTAAGTTATAATTTATTGCTTATTATTAATTGGGTTTATATTAATGGGACTTGTCTTTATTTAAGCAGCATTCTAGTAGAATTTAGACCAGTTAGGAAGCAATTGGTAGTCTGGGGGGAATTATTTAGTTTGTTAGTAATTTTTTAAATTTGTTCGTAATTTTTTTAATTTGTTCATTGTTAGGGTTAAACAAATAAATTGTTTCTTGTTATTTGTAAAGTGGACATCAGGGATTTTCTTCCTTTAACCATGCTTTCAACAGATTACAAGGGGAAAAGCAAGCTTTTCTGGGTGTTTCATGTGTAATTATTAGAAGGGAACCTCTAATCCCATCATAACAGATTGGGTCTTGCATTTTGGTAATTATCAGAGGAGTTCAGCTATTCCCCCTCTGTAACAATAGGTATAGTCCAGAGCTAACCATAATCCGCTAATGTCCGAGGGTGCAAGAGGCCAAGGAGCTCGCTGAAAGATCGATTGACAGGAGGGAGTGATCAGAATGGATCAGGATACTGGTGTAACAAGTCTGCACAAGTCAAAAAGAGCGAAGCAAGTTGCCTACTGCAGTGAGGAGACCACTCAGTGACACCAAGCCTAAAAATGCCAAAGCACAGATGAGGATCTCAGCAAAAGTGAGTAAAATTTTAGGATGCACCTGGGAAATACTATGGAGGTGAAAGTAAGCAGCTGTCGACTTGGAAATTCAGCTCATGGTAGAATTGACAGCAACATCGCACAGAGGTTCAGATTGACTAGTAAGCTGCAAAAAGGGATGCAATTAATGCCTCAAATGCTCAATCTTAAATCTTGAGCTTCAAACATCAGCAAGCAAACAGCTGGGACTTGTTTTCATCCAACTGTTCGAACCCTCATTGATTTTCCATTATTTTCTTTATATTCTTTTATCAATTTTGAATTTTGAACTAGAAATAACCAGTGGACTTTGGGATAGTTTGCATTAAAAAGGTTAAAAAATCAGACCAACAAGCCTTGTTTGTTTGCAAAGCCAGGCCTGGAGGATAACTGCAGGCTGAGCCTTTATTAAAAAGATTCTAACAGACACAGTAACTCCAGAAAGAGCATTGTGTTTAAACAGACAGCAGAGTTGACTATTAACGAGGTTAGTACATGGGAATTGGTTCTGCTAAGTCTGAAAGGGACCCTGTGATTGAGCAAATGGCAGTTCTTGAATGATAAATGACGCCTTAGGAGGAGACTGTTGAAGAGGGCTGAACTAGAATTAAAGTTGTTTTTTTTTAAACTTTGCTTTCTGACAGATGATTTTGGGATGCTACTGAGACAGTAAGAAGATTGAAAGTTCCCTGCCCAATATGATACATGTTTCCAGAATGCGAAAAAGTACAAAAACTGAGTTCCAAGCATTACCGCCTGGGTGAAATGAAAAGTGATCCTGATCAATGGTTCAAAATAAAACACAGCCATGGAGTCCATATTTATACCTGTGAAACAATGCGTCATGAAAGACATTCAAGTATTCTGGCAGCTGTTTGATTTTATTTTATCTATTCCTTAACTGTGTTTGTTCGTCTGTCTGTCTGTCTTTTGTGTGACTGGGGTCTGAAAATAAATGTTTTGGGTTTAAAGCACAGACATTAATCAGCTTACTGTGTTGTTTAATTTTCTCTTTGCTGAAGTTATCATGTAATTAATAAATTGTTAAGTCTTTTGTTTACAACACAAATCTGGTGTCTTTGATTACTTGCAAAGTATGCACTGGTAATTCAGAAGTCTGGTTAGGAACCACTGGAGAGGCTATTTGGGGATCTTCAGTTTAATTTTACAGTCTTGCAAACAGAGTTAGGAAGGCTGATTTGGTTTGGCTATCTGTCTTTGTGTCCTAACATAATCAATAGCCAGCTAGTGTCAGATGGTCTGCTTAGATGGATATGGTGGCATGGTGGCACTGGCGTAGTAATCCAGAGCCCCAGGCTATTGATCTGGGGGCATGGGTTCAAATTCCACGACAACATCCACAAGAATAAAAGGAAAACCTCCAGAATCAAATTGTGGAAATGAGTAAAATGTAAAAGAACAAAGTGCTTAAAACATGTTTACAATTTGTTCTAAGTATTTTTTGTGCAGGATTACTGGATTGCGTAAGATTAAAAGTTAAAGTCTACAAAGTTAGCAGAAATAAACAGTAGATCCGAGGATTGGGAACCTTTTCAGAATGCAACAGACGATTGAGCAACTGATCAGGAAAGAAGAATAGAAGTTCAATGCAATCTAGCAACAACCATAAACTTGGGCTGTTAAAGCTTCTATAGATATGTAAAAAGGAAATGTTTGGTTAAACCAAATGTGGGTCTAATACAGGTAGAGGAAGGAGAATTTTTAATGGGGGGTGGGGGGAGTATAGAAATGGCAGAGGAGCTAAATGATTACTTAGTGTCTGTTTTCATTGAGGATAATACAAGAAATGGATGTCCATGTCGCTCAGAAGAATAAGGAGTTGCAGGAAATTAGGATAAGTAAGTAAGTAGATCATACTAGATAAATTAATAGAGATGATAATTGATAAATCCCTGGACTCAATAGTTTATATCCCCGAGTGTTGAAGAGATGGCTTTAGAGATAGTTGATGCATTGGTGATCATCTTCCAAAATTCTATAGATTATGGAATTATTCCTGCAGATTGGCAATTAGGAAATTTAAGAGTGGAACTAGACAGAAAACAGAGGTCTACAGAAAATGCTAGAATCTACTGTAAAGGATATATCAAGTAGACACTTGGATGATAATGTTCAGATTGGCCATAGTCAATGCAAATTTGCAAATGGGAAATCATTTGAGGAGTTTGGCATTTTTTATGAAGACATTCCTAACACAATTGAGAAAACAGAGCCGATGGATATGTACACTTAGATTTTCAGAAGGCTAACCCTAAAGTCCCCTTCAGGAAGCTTGTTTGAAAAATTAAAGCAGAGTACAAGTGACATATTGGCATGGATTAAAGATTGGCTAACAGACAAAAATGGTAGAAAAAGAGGGGTCATTCTCACATTAGCAGTCTGTCAATTTTCAGGTACCAAGAGGTTCAGTACGTGCGCCCCAGCTGTTCACAATATATACCAATGATTTGGAGGTGGGGACCAAATGTAATATTTTCACATTTTCTGATAATACAAAGCTAACTAGGAATGAGAGTTGTCAGGAAGATGTAAAGTGGCTTCAGAAACATTTGGACAGGCTTAGTTAATAGGTAACTACATGGCAGATAAAATATATTGTCAAAAATGAGAGGTTATCCACTTTGGCAGGAGAAACAGATGTGCAGGTAAGAGGTCAAAAAGTACAGATGTACTCAAGTCCCTAAGTGTCCTTATCAACAACTGAATGCTGAAGGCGAACATGCAGTTTAGGCAAGGTAATAGTAAAGCTAATGGAATGTTAACCTTTGAAGTCCTGTGTACAGTTCTGGTCATCCTGCTATAGGAAGGATATTATTAAATTGGAGAGGGTGCAGAGAAGATTTACAAGGAAGTTACCAGGACTGGAGGAGAGGTTGGATAAGATGTGACTTATTTTCAGTGGGAGCATAGGAGGATGAAGGGTGACCTAATAGAGGTTTATACAATCATGAGGATCATACATAAGATGAATAGCAAAGGTCTTTTCCTTAGGGTTGGGGAGTTCAAAACTAGAGGGCATAATTTTAAGATGAGGGGAGAAAGATTCATTTCGGGACCTGAGGGGTAACTTTTTCCACACAGAGGGTGGTTCAGAAATGGAATAAACTGCCAGAGGAAGTGGTAGATGCAGGTGCAGTTACAACATTTAAAAGACATTTGGACAAGTACATGAATAGGAAAGATTTTGGAGGGTGTAGGCCAAATGCATGCAACTGGGGCTAGTTTAGTTTGGAAAACTTGGCCAACATGGATCAGACGGATCAAAGGGTCTGTTTCCGCGCTATATGACTCTAATGACTCCATTTGAGTAGAATTAGAATTAGAATTAGAATTAGGTTTAATTGTCACATGTACTCAAGTACAAAGATGTGAAAAGTTTACAATGTCACCACTAGGTACAAGGTACTCAGGTAAAAAAATCTTAGGTATGGAGTAGAAAAATAAAGAAATAAGTTAAAAGTTCAACATTACAGTTCTTGTCAGTATAAAGTTGTAAATAAGAAATAAAGTTAAATATTCCAAATTACAGTCCTTCTTTAGCTATAGGCCTGCAGTCATTCCATGCTGGGCTTTCACCAAAACAGCTCAATCGCTCTCCCAGACTGGGCTTGATCTCTTGATCCCTATGCCTCCACGCTGCCATCTCGCCACAGACCACCATCTTCTCTTCCCCCGAGCTGTCAACCGCCAACCTCCAACCTCTCTTTCCCATGCTGGATTCGATCCCTGTGGCAACTGCCATCCTCTCTCTCACCCATGCCTCCATCTTGCTGACCACCACAGTCCGGCTCTGGTGCCACTCCACGTCCCCAGCCACATCCACAAATCTACCAACCACCAGAGTTTTGCCTGGGCACACCAACCTCCTCGCAGATGACCGGCAAAGTCCCTGCTCTGGGCCCCCAGCCGATGTTGCATCCATGACCGAGCTCCCTTCAGAAGGTGAGTAGAGGGGAAGAAAAGCTTAAAGAAAAACGATTAAAAAAAAGAAAAAGGCGAGAAAGAAAAGCAGTCGGAGCTGATGAGTTCTGTCTTAGGAGCTCTATTCTGCCGCCATCTTAGAGCTGTGTGCAGGAGTAGTGAAGTCTTGCTTCAATTTTACAGGAGTTTGGTTAGACCATAGTTGGAGTCCTTTGTGCAGTTTTGGTGTCCTTACCTCAGCAAAAAAATTATTGTCATAGAGACATTGCAACAAAGATTCAGCAGACTTGTTCATGGGATGGCAGGACTGTCCCCAATGGAAAGAGATTGGCAAACGAGGCTTGTATTCATTAGCAATTCAAAGAATAAGAGCTGATCCCATGGAAATGCACAAAGTGCTTAAAAGGATAGACTGGCTAGATGCAGGTAAGATGCTCTCCCTGGTTGGGAAGTCTAGAATGGTGGACACAATTTCAGAGCACACAATATTTTTTCTGCACTGTCGCCACCCCTGCTCCCCATCCCAAGGGTTGTGAACCTTTGCAATTCCAACACAGAGGGCTGTCGAAGCTCAGTCTTGAGTACATTCAAGGTACAAATGGTTAGATTTCTGATTACCAATGGCATACAGGTCGATAGCGTTAGGGTAGGTAAAAATACACTGAAGTGTTCAATCAGCCATGACTATTAAATGGTAGGGCAGACTCAACAGGCTGAATGGTCCACTTCTGTTCCTCTGTTTCTAATGGTGGTTGCAAAATTATGATCAACAAGCAGAGAACAATTTTATTAACAAATTAGGCTTTGCTACAATGGTACCTACGACATGGTGATGTTTCTAAATGGCTGTTATAGTGAATATGGAGTTCCCACTTAGGGTCTAGCTGTTGAAGCTTCAGAAGAATAACATTAAGATAAATAAAGCTTTTTTACCTAACTAATTTGAAATGATACATTCATCAACTTAGAAGCTTTACAGTTTGAAAGGACCTTTTCATTAATTAGGGTGTTTTTTATTTGAGTCCTCACCTGTCATATCATGCTTTGTGACAAAACTTTCAGGACTAGAGGGAAATGGCGATCTCTCCACTGGTGTAATCCGTCTTGCTACACAAATCATACAGGACTGCAGATCTGAAACAATGAAACCAGATTTTTCATACCTAATTTCCAGATTGGAATGGTTAACTCATTTTATAGAAACAAATCAATACTACTTTTTGTCACAGACAATACTTCATATTATTTATTTGCCTGACACAACAGCTACTGCTGCATATAATCAAGCATCCATAATGGTTCTGGGTTTCAAGAATCTAAGTTATGAGGAAAAGGAAGGAAGGTTAGGCGTTTCCTTTGGAAAAGAAAAAAAAATGATATCTTGTCCTGAAAACATCAACTTCATAAATTTAAAGTAGTTCCATTTTAACTGTTCAATGGGTGGTTCAGAAGATACTCCATTTTCTGACCACAGGAAATATTGACTTTTTTAAAAAGCTTGCTCTAAGAGCTAAGCGATAACTTAATCTCATTTCCCATCATGCTGCAACACCAGTGTTTAATTCTAACCGCCACTCCACAGAAACCAAAGCAGACTGTTCCCCACATGCAGAAATCCCTGGATAACTTTCAGGTTTGGACTGGTAAAGTATCATATGTGGTGCATATGTTAGAAGTGTCATGCAATCACTAAGTCCAACACGTGAGTCTAATCAATTCCCTTTGACATTCAACAGCATTACCACTGTCAATGCATCTTCATTGACATCCTTGAGGTTCACTACTGACTAGAAAGACAACTGGATCAGCCACATTAATACAAGAGAAGGTTACAGGTTGGGGATTCTTCTCAAAGAGACACACTCCTTAATGGCTCAAAGCTCTTCTAACACAAAGTCATGTCAGAAGTATGATGCAATACTCTCTACTTAACTAGGGAAGCGCAGCCTCAACACTTAAGACACTCAACATCCAAGTCAAAGCAGTCTGTTTGATCAATGAAAAAGAAACAAAGTTGCATAGTCTCAGAGGATCATAGGACTGCTTTCTCATTGGAGAGAGGTGACTAGTGGTGAATTTATCTTCAGGGCCGCCATACTGCAGGCAACAGAAGAGGTTGAGAAGATGGGACCTTCATAATGACCTCAGCTAGTGTGGGGGTTGAAACAGCGCTGTTGTCATCACTCCACATTGCGAACCATCCGTCCAGCCAACTGAGCTAACTGACTCCCAAATTCGATCAGCACCCTATCCACCACCACTGCACTGAGGATACAAGATGCAATGCAAAAACATGCCATGGTTTCTTCAACAACACCTTCCAACCCACAACTTCCAATACCTAGAAAGACAAGAGAAGCGGCAGTACGAGAGGAAAAAAAATCTGGAATTTTCCTCCCTAACTTGTAAATACTGTTCGTTCATCTTTGCTAGAAAATCCTGGAGCTCTTTAACTAATAGCACTACAGATGTACTTTCAACACTTGGACTGTAGCAGTTTAGTTAGATGCTCAATGTAACATTGGCAAAAGCAGTTTGCCAGAGTATTAATTCCAGCCTAGTCAATGACACCTACATCCCATGGACGAATAGAACAACCTCACAAAACTTGACAGAATTCAGGCAATTCATCTCGTGACCTTCTTTAATAAAAGCAAATTGTCTCCGTTTTTAAATACAAGTCAAATTGGTTTAATATATTAGAAACTTACCTTCACCTTCTTCAGTCATAGCCTTTGGCTGAGAAAGGGCAAAGCACTGCATAGTTTCATACTTCTGACGAGCCTCATGGTTTCCATTTGATTCCTCTAAAGAATCATATGGCATCTTAATTAACATACGACAGTTGAACGTATGGCTCTTCTGCCTCTGTGTTTCGTTTGCCCAAGAAACCCCATTCACTGAAAAATAAATAGACACAGGTCATAAGAAATATTACAGCAATCTTAATGGTTTACAAATCAGGCAAGCAGTTTTTAAATTCTGCATATATTGGCAAATCTATTAGTAGGCCAATGCTTAATGGAAATTGTTTCATTGACAAGTCTTTAAACTGTTCAAGCAAATCCCAATTCCAATAGGTAGCTGTGCCGAGTCATCCCAATAAGTTTACACAGCAGTCATTTCGTACACTAGAATTTATTTCTGAATTTCTCAGCAGGTTTGTCCGAAATGTTCAAAACTGAGTTTACAGCAGAAGTATAGAAGCAATTAAATCTTACAACATTTTGCTTCAAAATTGCTTTGGCAACTAAATCTTACAACAAATGTTGTAAAAAAAAACTGAAAAAGGCAAAAGAACACAAAACTTTTTGTTGTGCTGTGTTTTTAACATTATTTTGCTGTCTTTTCTCTAAAGTATCTTTATTGCTCCAACAATTATTTCAAAAACCCCTCTTATCCAGTCTAATTTCTTCAAACGCCTTTCACACAAAGCACTAGCATTGTCAACCCCCTAGTATTCCACTACACAGCCGAGAGAACGTAGAGGTAAATAATGCACGACTTCAGAAGATTGCAAATTCAAAATCAGAATGACCTGATAGAGCAGCAGCTTAATTGATAATTCATAATTTAGTACCTTTCTTCCAACTCCCATCTCTCCCAGTCCACGAACTTTTGCATTCAAATATCTCTCCCAGTCCATGAACTTTTGCTTTCAAATTATGCTTACTTTATTACAAAATATTAGAGGCTATTAACTCCCAGGTTTGATGTTCAATGTTATGCATTGTTTTTGGAATGGAGGAAAGATTCACCCAAGTAGCTTTTGAGCTCTCCTCTGCCCACTGCAGCCACTCATCACCACTACAGTCGTTGACCACTCTCCACCCATTAAGTTCCAATAACAGCATCATATTGGGTTCTAACTCCCAGCTCCTTGTTAAACCAAACCCAGTTGCCAAGCTCTACAATGCTGGAAAGGAGTAGTTCTTTTAAAGATGAAGCCATGAGAAAAGGTGGGAAAAATGGAAGAGCTATAGTTTTATTTCAGTTGAAAATTTAAATTCAAGGTGGGTGTTAAGAGACATATAAAAATGCATTTTTGAGTCTTTTACGAATCTGGATACTGTGAGCTGTTCATCAGAACAACTTTGTGCCAAGGGAAGACACAGAAAGTCTTAGTGAGAGGGTGAGCTTGAAAGCCTCAGCAAGCAGCAACTGCATATTAAAACAGCCAAAATGCCATGGGTCAATGGACTATAGTCATGCCATTGAGCACATGACCTTTTACTGACAGCTACTTTTATAAATCAGTCAATTGAAAGCATCATGATGCTAGCAAGGTATCTAACACTGAAGCTTAGGTTAACATTCACCTAGTTGTCAAACAGGATCTCAAAATTAGGAGTGGCAATGGCCTAGTGGTATTCATGCTAAACTATTAATCCAGAAACTTGGCTACTGTTCTGGGGACCTAGATTCAAATGCCGTCATGGCAGATGGTGGAATTTCAATTCAGTAACAATCTGGAATTAATAGTCTAATGATGACCATAAATCCATTGATTTTCAGAAAAACCCATCTGGTTCACCAATCGGCCTACATGTCGCTCCAGACCCACAGCAATGTGGTTGACTCTTAAGTGCCTTCTGGGGATGGGCAAGAAATGCTGGCCGACACAGAGATGCCCACATCCCATGAGTGAATAAAAAAAAACCCACTGTATTGTCCTCCCTCAAACCTTGTTCACAAGGAATACAAAGGGAGTCAAATGATGCCAGTTTTAAAAAATTCCAAGAGTCAACATCTCATTATTTGCAGTAATGCTTGCTATTGCAGTCTGCTTCTACCTGGATCTTGCAGAAAGTGCAGAGAATTGAAAATAGATTGAGTAGGAACCACCTAATGCCCTCCCCTAACCATCAGAACTCAGTTAAATTCCAGCCACCTTTTGCTCTGAAATGCTGTAGTTTCCAGCTCTAGTCAAAGATCTGAGATGATTCATGCAGCTTGCTTGTATACCCTTCCACGGTAGTATTGATTATCCTGACTCCCAACTGGCTTGGTCTGGCCCATCTTCCTAAAGAACAAATGAAGTACTCACAATGCTGATTTACTGATCTGTCACACGGCTTACTTGGTGCAATAACATTTCTAACTGTGTGCTGTGAAGTTGAGAGACCCACCTGCTGGCAAAGATTTGATTACTAAAACAAGATGCAAGTAGACCAGGGGTGGAGGATTGCTGCCTGATCTGCCCATTATTACAGACACTGGATGGTGCATTTTTAAAAAAAAAAAAGAGGGGAACAAAGGAAGCTCTGTCAAAAATCATAGGAAGTGTCACTGTAATAGTCCCAAAGTTTGCACCATGCTACCATCATCTACAGATGCACAATTAACATAATTGGATATTCCACTTTCTCTAGAAATGTGAATGTTTAGTTAGTTGTTGGATTAGTCAAAATATTGAGATTCATCTGGAACCAAGCATCTATTTCAAATACTCCGTAATGGGGGCATTATGAAGTATTTATTTATTCATCTTAATGCACAAATGCACCAGAACTTAGAAGAATTAAAATATTTGTCCTACCTGTAGATTTTGGCAAATTTCTAAGAAATTCATCGCGGTCCTCTTGGTGAAGGATGTTATACACACTAGTGTTCATAAGCTCCTCCTGCTTGTACTGAAGGTACTGTGTAACATTTTCAGACACAAAAACAATGTTTCCATCTCGATTGACCACAAACAGAAAGCCATCCAAGGCCTATAAACCACAAAGAAAACCTTGCTATGTAACTATGAAATATTAATCCAAATTTATTTCAGGGCAGTAAAGATTCATATTTAATAATTATGTGCAGTTGCATTCAGAGAAAAGTCTACTTAGATGATTAAACCACTCACTGGAAGTTCCTTTCAATTCAAAACTGAAATCTGTTTCGAAATAAACATGAAAATAAAATCTATTGTACATTTGAAGCTTACTTTCAGCAAGAGAGGTCCCAATGAATCTTTGTCAATGACTCCTTGTCCAGTTGAAGACACGTCTGCTTTCTGCACATCATCTTCATTTGAAGATGCTTTTCCTATGAAGAAAAACAAACCATCTCTATCTGTACAGAAATTTTAAAAAGCACAAATAGAAAGGTTGCTTTCTCTGCCACGTGTCCATTGTTTGTTAGAAATACCATGGGGTATATATTTAAAATTGTAAACAGAGCTGCTACATCTAGGTTTGAAAAACATTTAAAGCAACAAGTTAATTTCTTGCAATTTATAATTGCAATTCCATTACACTAGTACCCGAGCTTAATAATCTTAAAATTTACCTAGTGCAATGGCAAGTTGCATTTATACAAGAAGAAAACATATTTTTGCTTCACGGATAGGCACAAAGAAAGAAAGGACACTATGGCAGGAATGGAAAAATTGGGAGGGATGACCAAAAAGATGCAATTTTGGGAAGTTTAGAACGGAGGAGAGATGGAAACTTTTAGGGAGGGAATTTCAGAAAGACTGCAGCAACTTAAAAGGTTCTGAAGAGTGAATGAAAGGGAAACTTGCACAACTGGCTGGAGACAGAGTAATGAAGACATCAGCGAATGATATCAAGTTACAGAGATAAGGCAGGGCAAAGATAAAGATGAAGATTTAAAGATATGGAAGAGAAAACATCAATGTTTTATTAATTAATCTCATCAGGTTTACAAGTTTTGAGGGCTAGGTAATAGTCCGCACAAATAATACATTTTGGGAAATCAGAGGATGACTGACTTTCATTAAACATTGCCTGAATTTATTATTCAAAAACCTGCACCATCTTGTGTTTCAGTTTTTTTTGGTAGAAGTTCCAAGCATGCTCGATAGAATATGTATTGAGATGACATTTCCTCTCATGGAGAAATCTAGAACTTGAGTCGCAGACAAAAATTAGGTGTCTCCTATTTAAGACAGAGATGAGGAGAAGTTTCTTCCCTTAGTGCTTGGAATCATTTTCCCCAGTAAACAGTAAAACATTACCTTTGATATATTATGCCTTCAAAGTTAAGAGTTAATATTGAATTCCAGAAAAAAAAATTGGTGTCTTCTGATGCTAATGTATCTGAAAAATGTTTTACTGTTCCTAGCAATGTTCTTTCCTTAGCTTCAGAAGATCTCTTGCCGTTACACTAGTCTTTATGGTCTGTCTCTAAATATTATTGGTGATCTCTTAGCTGTAAAGGTCCATTATTGCAGCAGCTGAGGTACCTGTTTTTACAGTGTTGATACAACTATTACAGTGACACTATAATTTTTGAGACAGCTTCCTTTGTTCCCCTTTTTTGTTTTAGAAAAAATGCACCATCCAGTGTCTTTATAATAATGGGCAGATCAGGCTGCAATCCTCCACCCCTGGTCTACTTGCATCTTGTTTTAGTAATCAAATCTTTGCCAGCAGGTGGGTCTCACAACTTCATGGCACACAGTTAGAAACAATGGAAGCTGTACCACTGAATATATTCAGGGTGGAGTTACAGAGTTTTGATTGACGGTCAGCTGAAAATTGCTTGCAGGATCCATCTCTGCAGCAACTGAGATGCCTTGTTTTTATAGTTTTGATAGAAGTACCCACTGCCTGTTACAACTTGCACTCACTCAACATTAGGATGATCATGACTGGACAGGAATTACCAACTTTGTTTAGAGAAAAATAACATAACAGCTATTATAATGGGAAGAGAACTTCTGAAGCTAATTAAAGAAAACAGAGGGTCTAGGAAGTTGAATAAAGGCAACAATCAGATCAGCCATGGTCTTATTGAATTATGGATCAGACTCTAAAGCTTCCTATTTCTTAGGTTTCTAAGTTAGTTTCGTACACCACTCAACATCCCAGAGGGGTGCAGTTACAGAATGGCCAAGCTACATTACTTTTGATCTTGCTATTGATTTAACGCAAAACCTTGTGCATTCCTGCAATTGGCTAAAAAGAATTAATCTCAACCTTGCACAATTAGCTGTAATTGCTTGAAAGGTCTAGTATTGCAGCAGCTGAGGTACCTGTTTTTACAGTGTTGATACAACTAACGACTACACTTACTCAAGGTCAAGGTGACTATTATTAGGCAGAGATCACCAATAATATTTAGAGACAAACCATAAAGACTAGTGTAACGGCAAGAGATCTTCTGAAGCTAAGGAAAGAACATTGCTAGGAACAGTAAAACATTTTTCAGATACATTAGCATCAGAAGACACCAATTTTTTTTTCTGGAATTCAATATTAACTCTTAACTTTGAAGGCATAATATATCAAAGGTAATTCAAGTAACATTTATAATTGTGCTTCCCAAAGTGGAGTTCTGTGGGACAGCAAGCTCCATAGCAGCAATGGCTGCTGTGAAGGTCCCCAATCTCTTGCTCCCACCTCTCAGAGGTTCACAGTTTTCACCAAAAAATCTCAACAATGTTCAAGCCTCACAATAGGGGCAAAAGTTTTGGGAAGCATTGGCCTATTACAATAATGCTCACATTTGTAAGGCATCTTGAATGTAATAAACCCAAGGTACCTCAAATAAAATATGAAAGTGGCTCAGTTCACTGAATATTTCTCTCAGCAACACCTTGTAGAAGGTTACAATGTACTAAATTACCTTGCTCCTTTATCTGACGAATCTGCCTCACAGTTTCTTTCAAGATTGCACATTTATCGGGTTTGACATTGAAGTTGTCAATGTCACTTAGGTTGGCAGAGATTAGTTCAGCCAGCTCCTCGATGTATTTGCTCTCTTGCTCACGACGACGCTTTTCAATGCTACAGTTCACACTGTTAAACACAAGTTATACAGGGTATTGAATATTCTAAATGATGATTACCAACATACAACTTCACAAGAGTCTGGTTTCTATCAGAATAAAGGACTATCAATTTGCTTTCATCACAATCTGCATATTCTGTCATTCATTTTTGCCACAAAAATCAATGACTTCTGCATGATAGAACTGCATTGTTATTATCATAGCAAAGTGCCCTAAGTGTTGTATTCTGAATTAGTCTTCACCAAGAAAAGGTAACTTGGTATACCAAAATATCATCTTCTAGCATGTGACTTTTAAATAAAGTGGTTCATGGAACGGGTTTGTCAGCATGAGATTCCACAGTACACTCATGTAAATTTAATACTGTAATAGTACTTTGTTCTTGAATGAACAGAACAGAATTGGCAATTGGTAAAGTAAGCTTATTGCAAAACCAGCTTCTGTCAAAGACGACCAGGAATGAAGAATTGGTACATTTATCTCTATCTTTCATGGAGAAGAGAACAATTAAGTATTTTAAATTTACTAAGTAAACACCAATACCTAAATTATTGTGATGAAAGTTTAAAAGAAAGTGTTCCTATTTTAGGAACTTGGATCCTGAAAGAGGGGCAAATCAGGTTTTGAGTTTCAGTGCTCTGAAGGTCTAATTTTTTTTAAGAAATGTCAGCAAGTAATTTGGAACAGTGAGCTAAAGATACCCTTTTGAAAGTAAGTGACTTAAGTAAAATGACTAGCAAGTTACCCGGGAAGATAAGTGGAATTTTTACAACCCACAGAACAGATAGATGAGTCAGAGCAACAAACAGGTTGTGTAAAGAAGAAAAGATCTATTCCAGAAGATGGGCAGTTGCAGAAATCTTCAGGCCATCTTCAGGAATGATGTCTTAAATTATTTTAACAGCTTCAAAGCAGTCAAATTCATATAGTCTTTGGAATGGCTTGAGAGACTCAGGGAAAATCATATGCAGTGAATATGCAGGATGTTGCCATTCAGCAAGAAATTTTATATTTCACTGACATTGTGCATCTGTAGAGGATAATGCCAGGGTAATAAAAGATGAGGCGAACCTTTCTTTTTACTGTTTATGATAAGATTTGTCTAAATTGTCTTATATAGATGGCTTTTTTTTCTTATTATATAACGAACTTGTGCTTTTTTGTTAGAAGTATATTAACAGCCTCATGTGAACATATTCAGTGACTGACCACCACAGCAACCAAATACAAAAACAAAACTGATGATCTATCAAGCCAGGTTTCACTCAGCAATACTGGAAAAATCATATTCTTATCTGCTGGAATCATAACTGTATGACTTTGGTATTGGAGTTTAACTTCTACTTACCTAACTTATTTATGTCACAGTGAGTAAATGGGAACTCCAGTGGTGGACCATGTTGGCGCAGGAACATTCTGGATTGACATTTGTTTGATAAGCCCAAGTGAATAGTTGGAGGAGATGGTGCCAAACATAAAAGATATAGAGACAAGGCAAACCAAAACGTACATGACAGATGGTTCTCGGACGCCTCAACAGTTTACAACCAAATTAGCAACAGAATGGTATAGGCCTGTCTCCGATATCTTTGATCCAATATGTCCTTCAAGTAAGGCTAAAAATGCCTGGTAATCTGTCAGCAGATCATACAAATGGTATTGAAAGAATTGAGATGATGCAAACTAATTAGAGAGATTAACTTCTGAGGCTATTCTGGATGAAGCTGCTGCTGTGCGGAGTGACACAGATAAGAGGTTGCTCTCGAGAACCACAGACAGGTTCCATGCTTATCCAATGAAGAATAAGCAAAAACTGTCAGCTGGGATCAGAGCTTGGAGAAGCAAGAGAGTTTCAAGCTTTTAGATTTAGAACCCAAATCTAACAGATTTAGATTTTAAATCATCAAAAGCCCACTAACACATTTTAGCATTCTATATTATGTTTAAATGTCTCAACATGTTGTTGATACAATGAAGGTTTGTTTAATCTGAGACTTTACAAGTAGCTTACGATTATTGCCAACTTCTAAATAAGTGGTACGTTAAGCTTGAACTTTATGATGTTACCGAAAACTGAATGTCATATTTGAGTGGGTCCACGACTTGAGTCATTTTCTCCAAGTGATCAAGTCCAGCACAGCAAAAAGATTTGAAATTTAAAATTCAGAGCAGGCCAATATTGGTCTGCTTAATCATACTATGGATGAACAAAGTACTTTGCATGCTATTTTGGAGATTCTGATTTCACTTTATGCTCAAGTGTGGCACATTCAAATGTCTTTCCCAGAAAATTTCACTGTACATTCGCAATGGAAAGATTGACATGTGAATTGCCGCCATTTACAGTGTACGTCAACGATCAAATCTTCCAGGAAATCCTGACCAATGTTTTTAATTTAGAGATATGGTATATAGCATAGGGAAATAAATAATTTTGCACTACTGCAAAATTTCCCATAGGTGGCAGCAAGTCAGTATTTTACATTCAGAAGCCTCTATTGAATTGAAGTAAAAAAGTAATCATAGTTCCAGAGGACCCAGGCTGCTGTCATTACAGAAAAATGACTGGGTCTTGAGTTTAACCGGAGGGCTCCACACCTCAGGAAAGGAGCAAGGTTGAGCAAGTTGGACATCCATGGTAGCCTCAGGTGGTGCGGCAATTGAACTTGCAATGTTGTTGTCACTCTGCATCGTGAACAAGCCATCTGAGTTAAAGTACATTTACAAGGAGAAGAAAATTTATGCTGATAGCTGATGTGGAAAACTGTATTTTAGCAGAGATGAAATTGTGTTTTAAGTTAGCAGATCTCTTGCTCCTCGTTAACATTTCACGTAGCTCAAAATAATACATGGTTTGCACGTAGACTTGATGTTGAACAAATTAGCAAAGTTTATGGCAGATTCCACTTTATACTACTGGACAAGTTCAAAAGATGGTGTTTTTTGCAATGCATTTGTGAAAATTTACATGGCAGTTGAGTCAGACAATATTTTGGGCAGTGTGGAAATTCAGGTCAAGAGTCCACAAGCATTTTTACTCCTCCCAACATGGTGATGGAACTTAGTCTAGAGATGTATTGTTTGTGTGACTGACAAATCCAGGAGGAAGCCATTTGGGCTACTGTGTCTACACCAGCTCTCCAAATGATTATTTCACTTCATACCATTCTTCTCCCTAGAACTCAGTAAATACATAGTTCCTTTTCAAATAACCAATCGTTTTGAATGCCAAAATTGAACTTGCCTCCATGACACTTTTAGGCAGTGTGTTTCAGGTGCTAACCATTCGCTGTGTGAAAAATAATTTCTCATATCATGTTCAATTCTTTTCCTATATACTTGAAATCAGTGCTCTCTTGTTCACGTTCCTTTCAACTAATGGGAATAGTTTCTCCCTATCTACTCAAGATAGCAGCATTTACTATCAGACATCCTCTCTTTTTAAAAAAAAATCTCCATAACTGAAGTTCCTCATCCCTTGAATAACTTCAATTTTTTCCTGTACTTGCTCTAATGCCTCACATCCTACCTGACTGGTGGTGCCCAGAACTGGATGCAATGTCCCAGCTGAGGCCAAACTAGCGTCTCGTACAGATACGACATATCGTTCTTGTACTCCATGTCTTTGTTAGTAAAACATATGATACTGTAAGCTTTCGTAGTAACCCTGTCAAATTGTTTTGTGGTGAATTAAGAATACATTTTAAATAGTTTCAACGTTATTTGCCACGACAAACAGGGTTTGTAATAAGAATCTGAAGAGAATACTAACCTCTGTACATCAATATAACCAGTAAATTATTTTGTGCACTTTAAAAATAATTTTCTAATATTTAAAATTAGGATGCTCAGAGGTAGTGGCATTCTGTAACCAATTAAAAATCTTCATTGCTTATGATAAGCTTGGAGTAACCTAACAGCAATTTCTGCAAGGGAAAATATAAAAAGGAGAGAAAAATTAAATTCCTTCTCCCAATCTATCCATTCACAATACGATTACAACAGAACCTCAACTTGGACACCTGATTCAAGAAGCACCACCCTTCTTTTGAGCCTCATTGCAGATGGCCACAAATACTGAAACTCTTATTTTCAAACAGTTGGTTGGCGTGTGGCTGGAGCAACAGGAGCAGAGAAACGAGAAAGTAAAATTGACATCTTATTCTCGTAATTATGACGCCGTCACAGACAGTTAAATCAGATCTGCTTCAAACGGAATCTTAATTCTGGCTATTTACCTACCTTGATCCCTGAGCATCAAAGGATGAAAGTTTTCGTTTCCTTGAATCAGAATTTACCAGATCCAATGAGTTTTCTCTGGGTCCACTCATCTTATTCACATATCAGCAACTGTGAAACAAAATCAAAGGAATAAAGGCTCGACTCAGATACAAGATCTCTCTAGAAGAGGTCACTAATTAGAAGGATCTTTCTTATCCAGTGAAAAATTAACAAGCTTTTTTTAAAAATCCAAAAATACACAAATAGCTTTATGTCAGATTATGCAAGTCCAAAGAAAATGGGAAAATCGACTGTACTAATACGACCAATTATAACCTAAAACTAAGCATGCCAACCTTAATCATAGGCATAAAGTAACTAGGGCTTGTGCTTTCATTTTGTGCCACCTCTGCAAAGAGGCATTAAAGTGCGTCATTTTCCATTTGTCCTGCACGTGACCCTAATTTCCTTTCAGTTTTGAAAGAGATACTCAGTTGACATTAAAAATGACACAGTTACTTTATTACAGTTCTTAATCAATTTGCATAAACAAGGCTGACAGATGATATATAAATTGTGTATTTCAGGCGATCTGATTTAATACTGGAACTAATCACACCTCACTGTCTGAATACAGAGATGCAAAACATGCAAAAATGCATACAGATTTCAGTCTATATGGTTACATTGGGATTCTGGCTATTTATATGCCCCGAATTCATGGTCAGAGTCCAACCTAACTCCAAGGGCTACAATGAGACTCTCTTGGGATTAGGGAAAGACCTCATCAGGTTCTTTCAGGAATCAATTTTGACTTTGACAGCTAATTTAAACTATATAAGCTCGTCACTGAAGGATTTTGGGATTACACCAAATAACGCTAAAAACTTACAGTCCTGACAAATCCTTAGGAAATACTCAGTGAGCAGCCAGTGAATATAACCAATTCAAAACAGAATCAGAACAGAATGTGTTGTAATAACTTTCATTCTTCAAGGATGCCAGAACTTAAAATTCATAGAATGTGTTTTAACACTTACACTTCAAATGGGAAAGGTAAATATAATTTTCCATGCTTAAGTTGCCTGCATAAATCATAAAATTTAAGAATCATGAACTTTGAAAAATGCACAATTAACTTGAAATTTAAAGAAGTTGGTGAGCCATAGGGACAGGGCTTGATGTGGTACTCGAGTTGCTCTTGCAGAGAGCCAGCACGGACAGAAGGAGCCAATTAGCTCCCTTCTGTGCTGTAACCATTCCATGATTCCACAAAAACAAATTCCTAAAGGATTAGGTGAGAATCACAAGGAACGCAACAACTACAATGAGCCAAAGCCATGCCCACCAATGAATTAGATGTAGGCAGACTCTACTAATATCAAGGTAATAACCTGCCCAAAAATGAATACGTATCTTGACAGACCTACAAGATTCTGGCTGGAGTTACACAGGCAAAGTTAGACTTACGCCCCTGCAAGAACACAAACGTTTCTGCAGATCCTCCCTATATTTCACATCAGCCCTCAAAGTGTGTAAAGCTTTATAAAGACTTATCCTTCTTTGGCCATTTTTCTCCAAATTGAACACACTGCCACCTCATTCTTATGCGCAGATGATCACAGGAATAAGTATCTATATAATGCTCCTGCAACAGGACTAATGAAGTAGCATTTGGCTTTAAAAAACCTATACTTGTACGGAGTCTACCTTACTTTCCAGAAACCATGAAGATCAATAAATCAATGTTAGCTCATTTGATGCAGTCTCCAACAGCAATAAAAATACATCTGGAAAGTTCTTTAAACGTGTCTATTAAAATAGATTTCAGAAAAGTTTGAAAAGCACCTGCACTTCCTACGAACAGTAAGTACAGGATCAAGCAATTTTTTTTATTATATCTAACTACTGTCGACTAGTTAAGAGTAATTATTCCAAGTTGCTGGAAACAGGTGTTTTTTTCTCCCATTTTGCTGCTTGGTTGTTCATTTAAGCACAACTTCTGCTCCTTGTTAACAGGAAGAAGTTTCTTTTTCCCCTGTAGAACTGGTAAATCAACTCAAAACAAAAACAACTTGAAATCACACATTCAGACAGTTTAAAATAAATGTCCACTGTTTTTAGTGCTATACCCAAATTTGATTTTCTAGTTCATGATTATTAACATATGAACCTAAATTTAAAAAATGGTGTTTCTACTAAGGAAAAGGTTTAGTGCAGTAATTAGCTTGAATACAAACTGGGTTCATCTTGTGCATATGTGACAATTAGATATTCACTATTACATCATTTCAATGTGGCCCAACACTACGTATATAACAACTGGGTAAAATAACGGCAAATGTACGATGGTGTACATTGGAGATCTATTGATGGTGCAATGGTTTAATAAGTAACCAGCGTACTTGCATAATATTAGCTTAATAAGTAACAGCATGAAGTTAGGAGAAGTTCTTGTTCATCTTAATTTCTTTGAAAATATTACAGGTAGTACATACTGGAAGAGGCTATGATGTAGTTATACAAGGGTTTCCCAGAAGCTGAAATAAAGGCCTATATCAAAGGCTACATGGTCACTTCAAACGTGACTTAGTAGGAACTCTGGTTAAATAAAAAGGAAACACAGTGAAAGGCATACACTGTCAGGCCAAGTGAATTGTAATAATGTGGAGTATTACAGAGGTCAGTGCTTGGACCTTTGATTTGTCTTATTTACATAAATTTCCAGGATGAAGCAACTGACTTTAAAGCAGTTACTTTTGTAAACATTAGTAAAAATAACTGTTCCATTGGACAGAAGTTGCGACTTTTTTTTACATTAAATCAGAGGGAGTAACACCGTTGATCAGATGCAAAATAGTCACACTTTAGTCTGATGACATTTCTTGTGCACTTTTGGCCAAGTTGGAACTTTTCATGTACTGTTTCTACATCAACTGCCAAAGATTCCTGTACTCTGTTAGTTAGGCTATGGGGAAGTACAACCCAGTTAAAAAAGTCCAATTATCCACACCTGTTAACAGTTGTACAGTCCCAGGTTTTGTCACAGATATTTCTCCAATTTCTTAATCTTCCTCCATGGCCACCTGGAAGAAGATGGCAAGTTTGTTCCATTTTTTATCCACGTTTATTGAAAAGAGATGCAAATTGAGAGAAGCAAATGGTGCACTCCTTTCCCAACTTTCTGCACTTCAATAATTTTGAATTTTTCTGTTTCATCTGCAGTACAGCAATCTAATGCAGTGCTAAGAAACTGACGCAAAAGAAAATTCTTTTTAATGGGGGGGATTATGGTAGTTAAATTTTCATTGGTCTAGTCAATGTAAAACTCAAGTTGATTATACTCCATGCTGGAAAGCCCCAGTAAAGCCCTGTACAAAAATGGTTTTTGCCGTTCCTTTATTTGGAGGATTACGGTAGCTGAATTTTAAATTAGCCTAATCAACTCAGGAGGTCATGACAATCATGTTGGTGTATCACACTCCACATCAGAAACGCTCCTCAAAAACATCTCACATACCATCTCTCTCTCTCTCACACACACATACACATCCCCCACTACCCCCAGTACCTGGGGAGTGTAACCAGAACAGTGAATGTAGTTCAGTTTTTGTAGCAGGATTTTTATCTGTTTTATGGCTACACCAAGGAAGGGGAAATCAAATATTCGTAAGTATGAAATGTTACAGGTTGAAAAATAAGAGTTGGCTACAGCAACATACAAGAAAGTGAGACTTTGGAAGAGAGCTGGAAATAAGAACAGATTTTACACATGCAATGTTAAGAAATGAAGTCCAACCAGCAGAGTGGCAGCACAGTGATATTACAGTCGAGGGAATTACCATAAGAGCCCTCAACATCGACCTAGATCCCAAGAAATCAGGTCGAACACTGACAAGGAAATTTTCTGCTGATTAACATCCACTGCTCTCCCTTGGCTGATGAATCAGTACTCCTTCATGTCAAACGTCATTTGGGTGGCAAGAGAATAAAACATATTCTGATAGGGGATTCCCTGCTCATCACCAAAAATGGCTTAGTAGCACCATTACTGACAAAACTGGTGGATTTCTAAAGATAACAGCTGCTAAACTGGATCTCTGGTAGGAAGTCAGGCAACTACTTGACTATGTCCTCACCAGCCTACCTATCACAGACAACAATACTAGTATAAAGAAATGGCCTGGAACTGAAGCCTGCAAAGACTATGGGCCCTGATAACATACTGCCAATAGCACTCAAGACTTCTGTGCCAGAGTTGTGGCCTAGTCAAGTTGCTCCAATACAGCTACAATACTGGCATTTACTGGGCAATGTGCAAAATTTACCAGGTATGTCCCACCCCGGAAATCCAACCCAGCAAATTACTGACCCCATCAGTCTTCTCTCAACCATCAAAGTGAGGGAAAGGTCATCAACCATCCTATCAAGTAGCACTGCTCAAGAGCGTGCTTTACTGGCACTCGGTTTGGGTTCTGCCAGAGCTACTCAGCTCTTGATCTCAAACCTGCCTGTTCTCTCCACTGATTCTGCCTAGCCAGCTTAGTGTATCCTCTATTTTGTGGCTGTCCTTCAAATTTCCAGTACCTGCATTATTTTGCATTTTCTTTACAAAAATTGTGATCTTAGTGTCCTTTTCATGTGACCTGCTGTACATTTCATCTATCACAAATGTAACATTTCATTCTTTGGTGCCCTCCAATACAGAAACCGAAATACACATCCTTTCACCTCTGTCCCAACTACAGTCAACCTCAAAACTCTTATGTACATATCCTATTTTGTCCCAAATCTCATTTGCCTAACATCTCTCTGCTCACTGACCTATGATGGCTCAGTTTTCAAATCTATTTTTAAAACAATCTCTTTATAAAACTCTATTTGCCTAGCCCTACCTTTTTTAATTTTGACAATCTCCGAGTACACACTATTCCAGACAGCCTATTTGACCTGCATTATGAAATATGAACCTTTGCAAACAATAATAGATTTGCAGGATACCTGCTCCCAAAATCAAAATTGAAAGAATATACGAACAACTGATGTACTGTGAAATCAAAAATCAAATGATCCCTTTCATAACAAGTTCCTCAAAATAGATATGCTCATTGCATATAATGCTATTTGTT